CGCAGCACTGCTGTGAGGCCAGGGATACCTGAGAACGGCTGGTTGAGAAGGCAGGCGCTTAGCATGGATTGACATTGCTGTGGGGGAGAGCCCTTTTCCTCCCTCAGGGACTGGGGAAGAGGCCCACATGCTGAGGAGCTTCTTAGGAATGGGAATTAGTCAAGGACTTGAACTGTCACATGGCTTCACTACTTACTCCTAGCTCTTGGCTTGTTTGTGTTTATTTATTTTTTTTTTTTTCTTTGCTAGGCAGGAGGGATAATTATAGAAAGAAAGCTCTTTTATATCCGCCCCAGGAGCCGGTTAATCTCACCTAAAAGGAAACCTTCACAGTGCCTATTTTAGCAGCTGTGATTTGTTGAGCACTGGTGGACTAGAGGATAGGGAGTTTCACTATCAATGCAAAGGCAGGTGGTTTGAATCTGCTCACTACACTGAGGAAGAAAGATGAGCACTCTCCTCTCTCCTCCTGTGTGATTTACAGCCTCTGAACAGCCGCTGGAGGCTCAGCTATGAGTTGGTTCTGACTCTGTAGCATTGAGTTATATATATCTGGTCATGTACCATGTACTTTCTGCCCATTATTTCCTTTAATCTTCAAATCAGCTCTGTTTTGCAGATGTGTTATCTCTCCATTATACAGATGAGCAAACTGAGGTTAGAGGTTTGTGCCTGGCTCCTGAGTGTGTACTTTGCACTTGATTTGCTGCATCTCTGCCATGCCTTGAATGCAGTGTATTTTACTCTCCGATCCGACCTCATGACAAGTGGGGGCAGGGCTGTGATTCCTGAGTAGAGTGCAGGGACCGTTTGATGTCAAGAGGAAGAAGACTCCAAGTCTCACAGATTTTTAACTTCATCTGAGCTCTGCCTTACAGGTGGACGCAGAAGATGTGAGAGCGTAGCTTATATGGGAGACACAGATTCAAGCTACAGGGACTCCCTAGACTCTGCTTATGTTCCATCCTTTCTCATAAATTTCCTGCTTAGAGGAGGCCCATAAGAAATAACAAATGTTACCTCCCAGAGTGGGGCAGGCAGGACAGAGTGCAGCTGTAAGCAGAGGTTATTAATGAGAGTTGGAGGGATAGATGTACAGACAGCTGGTGGACTTGATAATGAAGGAGAAATACCTTCCCACCTCCATCTGTAACTGTGTAGCTGGAGAGGGAACAGAAGGTAGGCATGCCCTCCATATTCATCTTTTCATCTTAGACCAGTGTCAGTTTCCTCAACTTTGCTTGGGTTATTTTCTCTCATTTTACCCCTAAGGAGACTGGAAGCCCCTCTCAGTGGTAATGACAATGCCTGCGTTTCCAGAAACATTGTTTGCTTATAATTGAAAAAATGATGTGGCAGCATTTGAGAAAAATGGACAGAAAGATCTTATTCCCCATGACCCCACCCCTTTTCTCTTGAAATTCTTTTCAAGGCACACTCTGTGCTGACAGCTCTCTTCTAAGTTGCTCAGTATTCCCTGAACCAAACAGATCACTAGTATAGCAGCTGGGTTCACACGGCATCCTTGCCTGTGCCTCTTGGTCTATGTGTCTTGTCAGGGTTTTGACACTATGCTAGCACATTCACTGCTGTTGGACAGGAGACGTCTGCCTACCCTTACGGGCAGCCCTGTGGACCACTGGCACCAGGCAAGAAGTCAATCACGATCTCATGGATTTAAACTAAGATACACCAACAGGGTTTTGTGACTTGATGTATTTTGGAAATTTGGGAGATGCATAGCTTTAAAAAAAATCTTTCTTTACTTTAATGCTTTTAATCTGCTAATATTAACTTAAAAATCTTAAGGAAAGGAGATTGCATTTAAAATATAGCAGTGATAGCTCTGGTGGCAAGAAGCTTCATTGCAATCCCAAAGGCATGAGGTTCGAGGCCACTAGCCGTTCTGTGGGAAAAGGATGGGCAGTCTCGTCCTGTGCAGTTAACTGCCTCTGAAAACCCTCTGGAGGGTCAGTTATGGGTCAGCTCTAACTCTACAGTAAACAACCACAACAATGATAATTCTTATTGCATGGTTACTGTTTGTTAGGCTCTTTGGTAAATTCTTTATGTATAGTATCTCATTTCACATCAATGAGATAGATGTTACCATTGTTCCCATTTTAAAATGCATTAACCAAAATCAAACCCACTGCAGTGGAGCTAATTGCAGCCACCTTCCATTCAGTTTCTGAAGCTGTAACTTCCCTCCCCCCTCAGTATATGTACATTTTGTCTTATGCAATCTTTTCTGTACATTGTGTTTTATAGAATGATTTTTTATCTCCCTTGCTCCTCATGTCCCCATTGCACCTTACGTATTTCTTCACCTCCCCCTCCCCCTGCTAATCTCTTCTATCCTGGTGATTTCCTCTTTCCTTTCTCCCACATTTCCCTTGTAAACAGTTTTATATAGCTCTTTATCTATGTATATATCTATATCTTGTTTCCATTTGCTACTGTTTCGACAGCCTTATTTTTAAAATTTACTTATATTTTATATTGGTTTCCATGCAAAATTATTATAAATTGTGTTTCATTCATATACATTGTGAGTTACAAATTCTTTTATTCACATTATGTTTTATACAATCATTCCCATACATTGTGTTTTATAAAATCAATCACCATTGATCTCTGTGCTTACTAATACCCCATCTTTTCAGGTCCCCATAAGGTCTTTCCTAATTCCTTCACCACTCTCAGCCCCATCCCCACACCCACCCACCAAACTCTGTGATCACATGATTCCCCCCACTCTCCACCTTGAGCCCCTTCCTTCCCTTCCGTCTTGGGACATTTATATGTATTTTAGTAATTATCCTTCTGTTTTTACAATAAAGGTCTTACAGTATCTGTCCTTATTGAGACTGAGTTAGTACACTGAGCATAATAGTCTATAGCCAATCCCATGTTATATAGTATTTTCCAAAATAGTATCCCATCATGTGAATATACCACAATTTCTCAGTCCATTTGTTTATTGATGAATGAAGCCATAGCTTTAAATGAAAGTAGATGGTCTCATCTTTCTCTCACAGGCTGGCTGGTAGATTCAGACTGCTAGCCCAACACACAACCCATTAACCATTTTTTTAAAGAATTGTTGTTGTTATGTACCGTCAAGTTGGAACCCACTCATAGATGGCCCTCCATTGGGTTTTCAGAGGCTACAAGTTATATGGGAGAAGATTGTCTGTCTTTCTCCTGTGGAGCACCAGTGGATTTGAACCACCTTTGGAGTACCAGTGCAGCTTCTTACAACTCGGCCAACCAAGAGACATTAGTGATAGGTAATTTGCTGTGGATGCTAAGATTTGTACTTGAGCAGGCAGAGCTACACCCCATGCTCCTCCTGATAGACAATTTTGATTAAGTCTTCTAGGCTTATTGACCAGGAGTAGTATGTGGGAATAGTACCCTGAAGAAGGATGGCAGTTAGAGAAATGCTCACTTTAACTTAGAAATTGAGTAGAGAATGCTAGATGAAGGAGGGAGATGGGTTCCTCTTAAGAACACTGTTGGGGTTCCAGGGTCCTGAGACCATCCCTAGTCTTCTTTTTCCATCTCGTAGTTACTGTTCAGCAGAATCAGCAGCCGTGGTGGATCTGGAATGTCAGGGTCTAGACCACTCATTCTCAGACTTAGCCCCGTAATAGAATTCACCTAAGGAGCTTTAAAAGACACTGATGCCTGACCTCATTCTTGGAGACTCCAGTTGTATTCCAAGTGCTAGTGATTTTTAAATGTTCCTGTTGATTGTGGTGTGGGCTACATTGAGGAATCTTTGGTTAGGGCACCCTGTTGCACCATCCTCACCGTCTCTGATATGCTCGAGCCCATTGTTACAATCACTGTGTTAATCCATTTTACCAAGGGTCTTCCTCTCTTCCTCTGAGTCTCTCCTGTTTCCAGCATAATATCTTTTTTCCAAGGAATGACTCCTTCTGCTAACAAAGCCCAAAGTATATGAAACAGAGTTTCATCATCTTTGTCTCTAAGGAGCACCTTTGTTGCGCTTTCTCCAGACAGTCTGGTTGGTTATTCTAAGGAGTGTGTGCCTTTTGGTCTGGATGATTAAGTTCTGTACATGAGCCAAGTGCAGTACACCTGGCCGTGGACTTGAGCCACTTGTACCATCACCAAGGAATCTGGGCATCTGTCTACATAATGCTTCCCCACAGTGCCCTAAGGTATATCCTATCCCTGACTTTGTATGACTACCACATATTAACCAGCCATTATACAGAAGTTGTACATTTGTCACTATGGGAATTGGTGAGAGCAGCTTACCATTCTTCCTTTTGCTGGGAGAGAGAGATGCTGCTTAGAACTTGGCAGACATACTGTTGCCAGGAAAGCTGGGGTTAACATTGTATTTTGTGGGATGACTAGCTAAATCTATGTACATATTTCTCATTAAAACTAAGCCAAACCCACTGCCATTTTTTTGCTTCCAACACATAGCAACTCTATTGAGTTTCTGAGGCTGTAAATCCTTCCAAATAAAACTGCCCATTTTTATGCTTTGAAGCGGCTGGTGGATTTAAACTGCCAGCCTTTTCGTTAGCAGCACGATACATACTATGCACCAGGATTCCTCTGTTTTTTTGCTGGACTTAATATAAATATTAGATTCTGAAGGGTGTCACTGTCATTTGGACTCAGAATAAACTGGATTGACTTAGTTATTGCTTTGGTGATTGGGTGCTCAAAAGCTGTTCTTTATCACCATCTTGGTAAAAATATGGCAAACTTCCCTCTTTAAGTTTGGGGAAATATATACCCTTGTCAACAAAAGATAATCATTATTTTTAACCCTTACGTATAATTATAATTTTTCTTAACACCTTTATCTTTATAGAGGTACAGACCTTGAGCTCTTCAAGGCCTAGGTAAATTCTGGAGCATTAAACTACTCTTAATTCCAGTTAAGACTGTTGACTCCCCAGGTTTGTCACAGGGTTTGTCACAAGAGTGTTTCTATTGATTTCTTACAGTACAACAAACACCTCTTCGTGCACATTGGACATGCCAACCATTCTTACAGTGACCCATTGCTGGAATCAGTGGACATTCGTCAGATTTATGACAAATTTCCTGAGAAGAAAGGTGGATTAAAGGAACTGTTTGGAAAGGGTCCTCAAAATGCCTTCTTCCTCGTAAAATTCTGGGTGAGTAAGACATTGGTGTGGAAGCTGTAGTTTTGTCCTGAATGGTTGTGTTCTGTGTATGAGCACAGCAGACTTGTGCCAGATTCACCATCGTGCACATCTGCAGGATCACTGAAGACTCACAGATCCGCACCTGTACAGCGGCCCCAGAGGGCTTCCCCACCGAGTGCAGAGGGCACCTCTCATCCTGCCAAAGATCAGGAAACAAGGCAGTCTCTTTAGACTTCAGTGCCACTCATGCTGTGACAGACTTCATACATGGCTGAAATCACCATCCATAACACTGAGCCCTGGCCCCTTTTTCTCTCTTTCATCTCACTCCATTAAGTAGTGTAAACTATGAATTCCACTGGAAAAAAAAATTCAGAGGCAGTAAAGGACCTGGGTTAAAGATAAAGCTGTATGTCAAGTTTTATAGGTGTTGGACAGGATCAGATGGCTTTATCGACTGTATACTTCACTGTTGTTTGTAAAGCTGCAAGGAGAGAGGTCCCTAGTTGCTGGAACATGACTGTTCAAAGAATTTTGCTATCCCCTCTTTGTTTAAGATCATGCAGGTTATTGCTTGTCAAGGACACTGGAAAGACACCGTGTGTACGTATGTATGTGATTGTGCTGTGTGTAAGGGCATTGGGAAAATAATGACATACCAGTTCTGAGAGTTTACAGGTTCTCAGTATTTGCACGACTCAAGAGAGAATTGTTTATTTGTGCTCCTTAGCATGGGATGAAGAGCCCCAGATGACCTGCTTCCACTGTGCCTCATCTGTCCATCCCATGCCCATCTTTGTGTGTATTTCAGTGTGCTTTTTTCCCTTTGAGGCCAATGTGATTTTCTGTTACAGCACCTTTCTCACCTGACCAGTCCACTGATTTTTCTTTTACTCCCAACACATCTTGTAGTGAATCTGTTCCTAAAGCTCTATTTTAATTCTTTGGATGTGGGTCTGTGTTCCTCTGGGAACCTTATTTTAACAGCTACTACCTGGATGCCTACTATGTGCTAGGAGTTAGGCTAAATGCTTTACATGCACCTACTCAGGTTACACAGATGTTAAAGGTTATCCATCTCATGTCCTATGAAGAACACAGAGGTTTGAAGAGTATAACCTTTCACTTAATATTCAGAAGGAGAAAGAATGCAGGTTCCGTGTAGATGGGGAGGCTTGAAATAAAATCTTTCAGACTTTAGTATCTCTGCTCTGTTTTCTGGCAGAGTAATACCTTGTGGCCTCTGACCTCTGAGTCTGTCATCTGCAGACTCTCCCTATCACAGATACCACATGAGTGCACGACACAAAAAGCTGAACAAATGGATGCATTAAAGCAAAGTGTGTACTTTAAATTCCTTAGGGGAATATTATTAAATTTAGTTGGTTTTTTAAAAAAATTCTTACATGGGAACTAGATTTTCTTTTCTGTACTTCCGTATTGAAATTTGGAACGTAAAAACAGCCTTCCAATTATGTACTAGATCAGTAATACTTCTCTAGGATCAGTAATGAAATGTGGACAGCCTGAAAAGTCAATGACAGTCGCCTTCCCTTTCTCAATTGAGAGCTGCCACCTAGCGATTTGAACTATATTGAAAGATCAATGTCATTCCATTGTTATATGATAACATAGTTCTCAAAGTGTGGTTCAGGAACCCCTTAGGGCGTCCTTAAGATCTTAGCATCCTTGCAGTTGGTTTGCAGTATCAGAACAGGTTTCATTATACTGCTGAGACATTATGTGCGTCATGCACTCTGCTGATATTTACACTGTTAATACAATAGCTATAAATATGTAAACCTGTTGATGCCTTGGTGTGACTCAAGACTGCAGGCTGCATTGTCCATATGCACTTACAGTGACAGAAAGAAAGAACACAGACTAGGAAGGGTTTCTGTGTTTTATTACGTCTTGAACTTCAAGCATATATTGAAAATTAGTTCAGTGAGCCTATTATTTCAAAGACATGAACTGATAATATTTGTTGGCTGTGATAAATTCAAGCTTTCAAGTGAAGATTATGATTTTTGAAAACTTGGTGAATTGCCAGCTTTCCAAAACTCATACTTTCCTGATGGGAACCATAGTGATATTGTTGTTGTTGTTTTGTACTGTCAAGTTGGAACCAACCCATAGCTAACCCTCAGAGGTATTTAATTCCATGAGAGGAGGTTGCCCATCTTTCTCCCGCAGAGCAGCTGGTGGACTTGAACCTTCAAGATTGCAGTGCAGTTTCTTGCCACTAGGCCACCAGAGATCTCTGTAGTGATAATAACATATAAAATTTTTAATATTGTAGATGAAAGATTACTGTTTATTGATAGGATTTTCACCTCCATTCATTTGTGCTAATGTTTAAGAAACCTGTGGAATTTTGGTGGAGTATATATATAACTTTTTCCCTCCAAAACCAAACTAAATTTAATATGAAAATTTTCCCCAAGGAATTTACCAATTATTTGAGAAGCTTATTAAAGTATTCTTTTCTTTCTTCATCACCAGTCTGTGGGAGACATTTCATTTTCTTGGTATTCCTCAACCAAACCAATGTAACAAGTTGAATATAGACTTAGAACTGAGCTATTTTCCATTAAGCCAGACATTCATTGTGGTG